GAAGCTCATATCTAGTAGCAGTAGATCATCAATGCCTCTAGAATGGAACCTCTACATATTTGACAATAAAAAAGGGAATATTGGTAATTTGTAATAAGATTTTCTCGTGAGTCTTTAAGAATTTATTAAGCTTTCACTTGAAAGGTCCCTGAAAGTCAGGCGGACTACCTCGGCCTTCAGAGAGTTCCAGAATTTGACTACTCTTAGAGCATCGAAGGTGTACTTACATTGAATTCTTCTACGTTGTGTCCCTAACTTCTGGTTGTTACCTCTAATATTTGTATTAGCACTGAGCTTAAGTTGGTATTAAAGTGGATTCCCAGGAATGCATAGTATCCTATAAGTCATTAAAAGGTCACCTTTGAGACGTTTATACTCTGATTGATAAATATTCGATGATTTCAAGCGCATTTCATAAGATTTGAATTTGAATCCCCAAACTAATTATGTGGCTGGTTGTTGGATACGTTCCGGTGTATTTTATTTTATAGTGAGGGACTAAATGCTCTTTCCATTCTCTAAATGGGGTCGAATAATACTATCGAAGAGTAAGTGGACGCATTCCCAGTCAAACTGGCCGAGCATGAGCTTCAGTGTCACCAGTGCAAGGTTTGCTCGAATGACATTTTTATCATGGTTGTAGTTAGACCTTAGATAATACGGTACCGACACTCCCCAATGTTTTTCAACTTGGGATACTTCTGATCTCCCATTACAGAATATCATAGTCTTCATAACCCCAGTTCATGTTTTCTGGAGCACCTTGCACAATGATGTTTCTTCCTCCAAAGAACGTCTAGAAAGGATCCTTTTGGATGTTTTGATTAGATTACGCTGAAAACGTGTTATATCGCACTGCCGTTGCTAATAAAGATCCCTAACGTATGGTTACATTTTGAATACACTTGTACGGCAGAAATCATCCGTTGGAGAGTCAAATATTAGTGTGGTAAAAATGATGTGAAATATCGAGCAGTGCGCGAAGATTACCAACTTTATAATTAACCCAAAACTTTTTGTACGTTGCACTTCTTTGACATGAACTGCTTGGAATTGCTGAACGCAAAGTTTTAGGGGTAGTGTGTTTTTATTCGTTTTGTAATCCATTATGATTTTATATGATTCACTGGGATTATGTCCTTAGGAATCTAATACAAGTCATTGATCAAATTAAGCACATCAGCTGCAAGGCTGGAAACCTTTGTAATAGAGTGAATGCTTTGAGAACCTCGCAAATATCTTTCCTGTGATAGTAATACTGTTTTAAAGAAGCTTTCCCTTGCCTTCTTTGTAATAACCTTTGTCCAGTACTTCAGTGATAATATTTGATATTTTTTAGTCCTCAATGGCTGGACATTCATTATTTCACCTTTGATGGTTAATAAAACCCCTAAATCAATAGCTCTGTAAGTTTTCGACATTTGATACTGACCACATCAGTTTTAACGGACTCATTTAGCCAAAGGTGCATCCGCGCCAGATCATGAGTGGGTATGCCACACTACATATCTCCTACAACCATTAGTCAGCTTAAATTAATCACTTATCGATAAGTTGATGGCCCACTAAATATATCTTTCAGCCTCTTGGCATCTGACTTCTAATCTGACCGGGTTGACACACTTCGATTATAAAAGATGTCACTGGGTGAGACGTCGTCAGACTAAAAATGCTCGTGATATCTTTATATTTGAGTTGAAGTTTGTTTAATGTTCTTTTAGTAGTTGTATTGTGTTGGCCTGTTGACGACCAAGTTTCGATTGACTGAACTAAAGGTTGGACTATGCAGTAAATGACCATTGTTATCCGGGTTGTTATAAACCAGTGAAGATTAAATTACAGGTAACTCCCGAGGACTATTAATGGACTAATATTCTGTAAATATTCTTATTGTAAAACTATTGAATAATTATGAACTTTATTTTGACCTATAATTTATTATTGTATTATTTATGGTTCTTAAGCTATGCTTAGTCTATTAATTACTCTCCCCCTCGTTCACAGCCACTTTTTGGCTTAGTTATGTACACATGTTGTTTTCTAGTTTATGGTACGTTGTGGTCTGTCTGATTGATATATAAACCGAGTATGTCTGAAATAAACGATCTGATCTGATTCGATTCGATTCATATTACAGAAGCTGGTATTGTGTTCTGGACTCAAGTGGAAGGGATAGGAGGATGTAGGACCAATAAGGACGCTAAACTGCTCATAGCGGTTGAACGTCATTGGTTTGGCATAGTGCGAAATCGTATAAGTCGTATTCTGATTGGCCGATAAGTTGCGTGATAAAAAAGCCAGACATCTAGGTCATAACACGGGTGTCGGCTGGGAATATTTTAGATTAATTTAGATCTCCTGGTCATAATTTTGATACTACTTTGTAGGGAGTATTACTGTTGATTCACAAATACTTGGCATTTGCATTTAGTAACCATTTTTCGCCCCAAAGTACATATTTTCTTGCAAGAGGAACTTTTGACAGCGTAGTAGCTATGCAGGTTAGGCACTATTAAGGTAGTTTACATTTTTTCGGCATGATTTGCCATTATTGAAAAAATGGCATAGATAATTACCCACTAATCTTTGCTTTGACATATGTGTGATGTAATAACTTGCTGAGTGTGACTTCTGGAAGCCTTGTTCTGTAGATAAAATACCATGATCCTGTTCAACTAACTTGACGTTGACTTTGCTAGATAATTTTCTGTACTCATATTGAGATACATCAATTCGATTTTTACAACCAATACTTAAGTCACGACGAACCTAACTTACTCCAGGTCATAACTATTGTCCAGAACAACGTGTGAATGCTGACTTTCAAACCATATTATTTATGGGATAGCTCAGTTGATGTATGGCGGAAAACGGGCCAAAATGATCAACTAATTGTTGTAACGCGTATTCAGCTACTTCTTATCTTCCCATAATATTATTACTTTTTTCAGTTTTCTTCGAATACCTGCATTTGTATGCAAAGCACTAAAACACATCAACTAGTGGTTTATATGCATTACCTTTCCCTTGAGATATGCATATCATACGATTTATTTCACAACGCTTTCATCAGCTTACCATTTTAATTCCAGTTATTTGTCTTGAACTTGTGAGAACCAATACCGAGTGGAGCTTGATTTGTCGAACCTAAATAAAAATGTTGTCTGGCAGAAACAGATAAATGGCCTTTTTATGATCTCCTAAAAAATCATGGTTTGATATCAGATACAGGAATGTGTAGGCTAATCAAATGATCTTTCAAGAATTTCACAGTGGTAACCACATCGAATTTCCCCAAAAGCGACATCCATCAGATTGATGGGCCGAACAGTCGTCCGTATATAGGTTGATGAAAATTCTGTGATGAAAAGGAAATGTTGAGAAACTATTAATACTACATTGGTTGGCACGAATAAGGTGGGACGCGTTTATGTTTTTTCGGTTGATAAATGAATGGACACCTGGTTGAGTCCGTGTTGAAGTAAAGGATGTCCATCACCACATCACAGGTGTCAGTTTCAGTGACCTTATGACAAACTTTTAGGGTTTATACTGATCTCAGCAAACGTTGTGAAATTAAATAGTTACCCAAGACAAGTGGCTTAGTAGATGCTTGACTTTTGTTACCTTAGTGGTTTGATGTTTATTTACCTGTGACTCCTGCCAAATGTCCCATTTCGTCAAAAACTTATCGCTTTTTTCCATATATTGGCCTGAGAAATTTGCTTAGTAGCATCTTTCAAACCCGTCGTATCAAACACATTTCTTTCCCTCTTGTTTGCTCGCCTCTGAACACCTCTTAGTAAGAACTTAAAATGGAATTTTTTTAGACGACTTATGTCCCGATTATTGATTTCTTAAATAAAACAAATAATAGTTCATAATCTATAATATAGATGGATGTAAAGTGTGCCATAAAAGTTATTAACCAGGTTCGGATCCATGTTTGGTGGCATGATATTTTAGTATCTCAGTATCTGACTCCAGTTAGTTCGTATGCTGATTATTACCGAATTATACATGCCGCCAAACCTCGTATATAATTATAAACTTAATCCGCTTTAGTGTGTGCGGAATAAATATAAATCGAATACGAGAATGAGTGTTGAATACATACATTCGTTCATGAAATGGAGAAAGCTAAGTGGATGGATATGACGCGCAGTGGAGAAGGCGGATGAGCCAACTCAGTTTAATCGAGTTAGGTAATACTTGTAGTCAGATAAAAAATAAAATATAGACAAGTAATGAATAGGATAAGCAACCAACAAACATACGGTCATATGAGATTAGTCAGGATTACTAAGCCAGTAAGTGACTAGGTCAAAATATGACCTGAGGGAATAAATAAATTGATCAGTCCAGAACTTAGAATAGCTTTTGCGTGCAGCAGTGTATTTTTGATCGATAGTCAGTGGGTCATGTTATATATGTTCACAAACAGGAACGGGGGGGCTCGAAAATCATGCTTCTTTAGCGATAATTTCACAGGCGACACTGGTAATTGAGCAAATTATGAGAATTAATGAAAAGTGCAAATAGTAGTAAAAACTAATTACGAAATAAGTCTAGTTTAACTATCCCCACATATCTCCCCCCAAAATATCTGGAGAGCTTATCGAAATCCCGGTTCTCTGTTTTTAACTCTGCTTCAAAGAATAGCAGCATCTGTGAGATTATATTTAACTGTTCATATATATGAACGGTCATATGACAAACGGAAACTGTGAAGACGAAACAGCATGATAATAGAAGTAGGTAGTGATAGTTCCCATACGCTCACTGATCAATTCTTGTCTGATAATCAGAGCAAGGATCCAAAGCTCCATATTTAAGAGTTCATTTCTTGCAAACTTTTAATATCGTGTATTTGAATATTACAGCCGCACAGTTTCAAACTTGGACTTTTGGCGCGCTGCAAGCCGTCCACAATAACTCTGAATGTTTTGTTTGCGTTTACCGATGTTTGACAGACATCTGCATGGAATTGGATATTATCAATGACAAGTTCATATCCTGGAGTTAAACTCTCCTCCATTAATGGGCACCTGATTTGTGGACTGTGTGGTGGTTATCTAATAGATGCGACTGTTCTTACAGAATGTATCCATGTCTTCTGCAGAAGCTGCATTCTCAAGTATTTATTGGAGCACAAAATTTGTCCATTATGTCAAAGTTTGATACAAGAAACTAGACCTGGCCAAGCCCTCCGTCCCGATGTTGCTTTACAGCGGATTGTATATAAATTAGTCCCGGGTTTACTGAAGACTGAGATGAAAAGAATCTCGGAATTCAAAGAATTGTATTTAAAAGAGTTGTCCTGCACAGACAAAATGGTTTGCACCAAGGAAATTCTTCCCAAAAACTGCATTCCGAGTAGCACTGCTAGTTATAGCATTTCAGGTAAGAAAACTAATCATACGTCATTCACTTTTTGTTGCTTCCATTTTTTGGCTTTACCTTGTTACTACCGAGTCCCTAAATAGCGATAGAGTCATTTTACATTCGTCTTGTGAGTGACCGTATGTGTCCTTTTATTTGTTAACAAGTCATGGAAACAAAAACCCTCTGTAATATTAGGTATCACTCATCCACCACACGCTGCTGGAGAGTCGACCTAAAGTATAAGCGTGGCGATTACTGTGTTACATTAAATTGCTGTGAAGCGGTCATTTGTTGGGTGACTTCAAGGATTCAAGTATGATCTAAATTGTTACATCTGTTTTCTTCTCTTGGATACATTTGGTAATATCACAAGTCCAGGACTGTCGCTTTAACTAGTAATTCACGTTATAATCTAGGAGGTCCATACTTGATAGATGCGGGCACTACTCGTCTAACAGTCCTTTTTCACTGTCGCTGCTAATGTGATGTAGCCAAGTTTGCTTATTGTGACAACCTAACCATTTAGTAACGGCTGACACTTTAGTTCTTTAAGATCCTGCTAATTTAGACGATTCGATCGGTGTTCCATATGTTTAAGGTCAACAAACAAGGCTTGGGAACGACTTCGTGTTTCTGACTATCAGGGTGTGGTGGCAGTAAGTTTTCTCTGACAACCAACATCTGCGACGACGCTGCATTCCCACAGTGGAAATGAGGTTTAGTACGGACCATCATTAAATATAGTATATTTTGCCTCACGCGATAGATTCTTTTCGTGGACAGTAAGGTCTGAGAGGTATCCATCCAACATCAAAAATTGCAAAAAACCCTTATGACTGGTCTCAGGCAGTTACCCTTTAAATACGTAGGTCCTTTAAGAAAAATTATTGTTACATGGTGTGGGGATTCAGGAAGTGACGATCACTCACATCTTAGGTAGCATTTGGTCTCAGTTACTCATATGTTAAATGTATGGGAACTATCAATAATAATGCGTAGAACTCGGTACTGTAATATTATGTTTGTGGCAAATATTGAACGATCCTTTTTTCTTTGCTAGGCTGCACTGTTATCAAACTAAAGTTTGAAAAATATTTTAGTTGCTTGTTAATCATCTGTATTCATCGATAGGCATACCATAAATTAAGATCTTCAAGAGAATCCTAATTGCAAAATACTAAATCTACTCAATTGAGAAGGCATAATCATTTTATTGTCAGATGTGAAATATAGACGTTTTTAAGCAAACCTCTTAATCAGATTAAAATGGTTATTTGTAGTAGGTGCATCCTATTAATTGTTGAACAGAGATCTCATAACACTACAGGGTTACCAAAAGCTCCTTGTGCTTCTTCAACCTTTGATTGTATTTAAGATTTCTACGATTATCCATTCTATCATTTCCGTCTGGCAACCAGGCGTATGAAAACTATATCATAGTAAATACTCACTGCCTTTTCGTGGCGGGGGTGTTTACGAAAATGAGAGGACGAAAAGCGAATCTCCGGCGCTTTAACCGGATTCCAAACCAATGGTGCACATGGGCTCCAGCATCCTGCGAGAACAAATGACGTATGAACCAATTGTTGGTCACCAGCTTCCATGGGACTGCATCTCCTTACGATGCTCCACTGCCTTGTGGATCAGACCTTCAGGTCGAAGGCTCGGGGAGTGGCCCCCATAAGACAACCACCTGCTTCGGTTTGGGCACCCGGGCAGTATCGCAGCCCTCACACATATCGAATGAGATTTGTATGGCGCATATGTATTTGGTGCCTCCTTGTACCAATATTTATGTGTTAAAATAAATAAAGACATTAATTTAACGCAAAATGGGAACGTATCTTCCATGCATCTACGAACCGCAGGTCGACTAGTAAATACAATACGAAGTTCATTCGAATAGAATGTTGTTCTCAAAAATCTCAGAAGTATGATTTCAGAATTTCTGCTTCAGTATCTCTTACACTGAATGCTCATAAAGTCTTCTCTGGTGCTATGGACATGTGTTTTTTGGTGTCAGATTTTTCTTAATAAATCTAGGTGGATATCTATTGTTATGTAGTCTATTTTTAATAGCTGTCAACTAGGATTTTTTTCGTTGGGTTATGGCTTAGTTTTTGGTGCACTTTGCTTTCAACCAATACGTCTCAACTTACAACTACACCTTACCTACTTCGTCTAGATAACCTTGTAGTATCACTAGCCGTCACACCAAGAGTTTAGCTTGGTTTGTAGAAATCTACTTAATAAATACTCTGTATAAAACTTTGATTGTTTACACAGTTGTATCCACGTTGGTTTTGTCTTCGCTCTAATACCTAATGTTCTTTTCTCATTTTATTGTCGCTCTTATTCTTTACGTGTCTATTTTTGAATTTAGGTCAATGTAGATTTTTTATGGCGTTGGATTTTCTTTTACTGTTTTATCGCAAACTAGATATAACTTTAGTAACTGCGTAGTTTCGAATAAATTTCTCTCTACAGATCTTTGTTCTTCACCCCTTCCAACTGCTCTTGCAACTCGATCGCTTTCTAAAAGTCCATGCGGACTTGTTTCTTCAACTCATGCAACTCAAATGCTTGTTTCCAACCGTTTGCCAAATTCTGCCGCATTTCTAGTAGCAGATGATGAATTTGTGAGTTTGGCTCTAATACATTTAACAAGTTTTCCGTCATATTCAAAGGTATCTGAATCGGTAATTTGCAAACGTCACGACAGTTTCAAATTAGCTTCAAGAAGTGAATCTAGTCGTTCCCAACCCCCTTCACCACTTTCTAATGAACAGTATTCTAACTCAATATATCTTTTATGTCCGGCTGTAGTAACTGTCGCTAACCTCCATCATCTATTGTTATCCAAATACCAACTTGATCCTACCAGGCAAATTGTAGATTTATACCTCGATGGAGAATGTTTAGAACCATCTCATAGTCTGCGTGAAGTAGCATTTCTATATTCATTTCCCACGCGAAGTCAGTGTATGTATTTGCAGTTTGTTTTTACAGAAGCATGTTCAGCTTGGTGGGGGACGCCGATGCCACATCTTGAGCGACTACAGCCAAAACGTCCTAATACTTCTTTCAAAGATCACTACACCGACTCTAATTCCATAAATATTTGCCTCTCTAGCCTCAATCATGCTACTAAATTGTGCCAAACCTCAAGTAAACACAGCAAAAGAGCGTCGTTTTAATAGTGCATTTATAAAAGCTCTAGTGCATTACATAACATGTTTGTATATTCATGTGTCCTTGTATAAATTTATGACTTGATTATTGTTTTGTGTATATATGTAACCAGTACCTACTCATTCAGGAAATTTATTGTTTTATTTACCTTACAAAGCCTTTATTTGGACTATATATTTTATCATGTAAAGTCTGTATTTGTTGAAAAACTGATTCTTTATGATAATTTGTATACATATTTCATTTTATATTACCTCTCCAAGTGCTAGTATACATAAATATGACGTGAATAATTGGACTACTTATATTGACTAGATTGCTTCCAGTTATCATTTTGCAGATTAAAACACCACTGCTCCATTTGTCTTTCATTTTTTAAAATATATTATAGTGGACTGAAGCATTCATTGCCTACATGTATATGTATGATTTCACTTTTCCTTCTTGAAGTATACCTTAACCTTTCTGGACGAGAGAGTTACTTATATATTTCTGTATAAATTTGATCATAAATATATAGATTTTGTCAAAAGAGTTTTTTCTCTTCCCTGCACGGCATGATTGTATTACAAAATAAAATGTGTTTCTTAATTAAGTGCTTATTTGTGGGTGGCGTAATATGGTGTGACTCTGTAGTGTAAGGAGTTGACTTCCAACTACTTGATCACATGCCCAACCATACTTATGCTCAGGAGTCTGGATGGTCTTATCAGCTCTTACTTATGGCAAATCACCCTTTCTTTTCCAAAAACTTTCCGGATTTCCCCGTTCTTCATTTATTTGTTTCGTTTACATTTTGGGAAGTTGATTTGAGCATAAAAAACTGTCGCTTAGTCAAGATTCATGTTAAAATTATTAGTTATACTTGTTGAGTCGAATTCGTTGTTTGAACAGTGTAAATATAGAGTATATTTCATAGACACGTGTTTTCAAACCGACAGTGATAGAAAGTTAAGATCTGGCCCAAATCTCCTTAGGGGAACTGCTCACCGGAAATATGTACATATATCCTTTTCCTTGACGTGTCATTGTAGGAATCCGATAATTTGTACACCAGTTTTTCTCTCGATGAAGATGATATATAGAAAAGGCAACAGCAGAAAGTAATGTTAGACTATTCAGACTTATCAATGAAAGAGGTGTTAAAAACCCATCTTTCAATGAAACTATTTCGGGAAAATATCGAATGAATATCAGAGCTCAGTGCGAACTGTCATCAGAATTATTAACCTCCAGCGGCGTTTTCTAGCGTTGTTCAACTTTCCTGTCCTTATTTTTGTCACACATTCTGTTAGAGATAGTGCTCTCATCGTCTAAATTTTTAGGGACCAATCTGCCAGGAGACACGCTTGTTTATTTAGAATACGCAGGTAATATAATTCTGTTTGGTAAAGACACTGAAAATATGCAGTCTTCCGACCATCTTAAGTAATACTTTAAGCATATTTGTGATGCTATTCTCTCCCTCCAAATTCAAAATACTGCTTCAGGATTGGTCTCTGTCCGCATCTGGATTAGTGATACGGAATGAGGCAGTTGAGTGTATCGACAACTTCGCTTGTCTTGAAAGTCTCACCAGTCCTGATGGACTGATTCTTGACGAAATCTCGACACGGGTTCCTAAGGTTCGATTGGCCTTTCCCGACTTGTGGCGTAGTCAATATATCCATCTGCCAACCGAAGGACGAGTTAAATGTGCAGCAGTTATCTCTATTTATGGATATGCAACATGGTTACTAAGAATAGGTATTTGTAAGTTACTAGTATTTGGTCATATGTGTCTTCACAGCATTGCTTGTGTATTTTGAGACCACCGAGTAAGTAATTCGTAGGTCAGGGATAGGGTAAGGAGTAAAGATGGCGAACCGATTGATTGGCTAGTGAATGTTCATTAACTAAGCTGATTAGGACATGTGTCATGTATGCCCTCTCACTGCCTACCTTGATGGGTGTTGTTTAGTTTAGAAGTGGATTGGAAGTAAGCTAGAGGCGGCCAAATCAAAACATGGTACCGGTCCATGAAGTCGTTGATAACTGGACTAAGTCATATTAATAGGTATAGGCTACTTAATCGAAGTTCGTGTAATTGTCGATAGCTCATCGGACTCAGCTAGTTAGTCCTTAAAGTGATGCAGCAGAAGCTCTAGAATTTGGTGGTTTTGTCCAACCGTCACTCCGTTACAGACCTTCGACATCAGCTTCCAGAAAACTTCGTCAGTAGACAAGCGAATCCTATTCTTGAAAATAAACTAATAGAATTGCCAACAGTCTTCGGAAATTTTATTACGGCTTCTGTATTTTCCAAATTAAGGATCATTTTAATCATTTGGGAATCCAACGAGTAGATTTCCAGAAAGTAACATGCAAGTAACTATCAAACGGTACAACAATTGAAATTCACGTAAACACAATGAATTTGTATCATGGGTGATTATTAGATAAATTTTCCCACTAACTATGAAGCATAAGGAAAGGGTAATTTACTAGTTTCTTAATTGTTTTTTTATTTGGATCACCGCTAAAATCCAGTTTTACTCTTCCTTTTCTGTAAAAATTGGGATTATCAGGATAGGGTTGTGGAGATTATTAAGTTCCTGGTTGAGAACATGAACCGAGTGGTGTTAGACCACCATTGAGAACCTGGAAGCACTGGACGGCTGTTCCGTCCTGTTCTGCGACTCCACAGCGGTGCGCACACATGACCCCATTCGCAGAATTCGAACTCAGGGCCTTCGGTCTGGCCCGCGAACGCTTAATCTCTAGACTTATTAGTAAGAGCGGCCGTATATTTTGTTCAGCTGGTATAATTTTCATCGGCTTCATTAATCAGTTGAATGTGGTATTTAGTCATTTAAAACTGATTATAATGAAGTTACGTATTTGACATACCACTTCATTCAACCCTTTCTGATATAAAGCTGATAAAGAGCTTGGAAAGTATTATTGTAGATAGTTTTTAGTATAAAAGTTGGAGTAATAATGGAACGATTTTGCACCACACAAGAAGGGTTCACAATAATTTCCTTCAGTAGAGCAGACGGAATGTAGCTAGTCGTGGGATACAAGATTCGTTTCGTCCTGTTTTGAACTCGTCAACTGGATGCACCTGTATCGGCGTTAAATTAATATCCATACTCGTTGTATAAGTGAGTGATTTGCTGGAGTCAGTAGCTATGTGGATAGCGTATTGACATTTAGAATGAGCAATAATGGGTTCGAGTCTCGGAGTGATCATCAACTCTGGGATGCATGTACATTCAGCCGATGATCCCAAATAGGACGAAACGAGTGTTATGGATTCCATTGCTCCCCATACTCCATTTGTTATATGTAAACTTTGGTCATGATTTTTTTATCGATGTAAGTCACACAGAGTGCACATATCTTAATTAAGACTGATTTGATATCAGTCAAAATATCAACAACGTGATAGCTCAAACTATTAAAAACTAAATTAAAGTTCCTTTAGTGACTTAGTTATGTGAGCAACAATGAAAAGATTGTGGGCCAGTTATTAACGCTTTACATATGTTTATCTTATAAACAAAGGTGTTACGTAACTATGGTGTATCAAAGACTATGGTGACGAAATATGCTAAATGTATGAGAAGAGGGCAATGAATCATGTAACAATATTACTAGCCTTCATTGATGAAAGAATTGATAAACACCTAAGGTGTTTTTGTAGATCATCCAATCATGTAAAATTCTGTGGTTTTGTGCTTTTAACCCGCTACTAATATGAATCAGTTTGTCAGACGTAGTAACTCAGATGCTAGACTATATTATTATTATTATTATTATTATTATTGCTCGTTGATAAAAAACCATTTGACTTAAGCACATATAGTTGTTTCTAAATACTGATATATTCTGGAAGTACAATTTAAGACACATTTCAATCTCAAGTTCTATTTAATAGTTGTCAAGAACTCTAACCACAACATCAATACTCTTACACAACAGCTCTATTCTGTTCTAATCCTAGCTACTCTAAAAGACAAATCTTATTAAGAAAAATGTACCATAAGAAACAGCAAAACTGAATTTATATTCACTTTGATTCAATAATATATCAATTAATTTTTAACGATTATTAACTAAACAGTTATCACTTATATTGTAAAATAATAAAAAAAGTTAATTAATACAATGAAATGTTGTGAAATTCAATAAACCAACTTCTTAAAGAAGGAATTAATGCAATTAGAATGCATTGAGACGTACTAAGCAGACTTCACTTTTAATCAATATGTAAATTCAAAAACTGAGTTCTTTCTTAATGTCTATAGTAATTTAACATCCTTAACAGACTTGTTTGATGAAAATATCATCCTACTTCATATTATTTTTATGATACTCAGAGAGTTAGTTAATTTATGACAGCTTGTAAATAAAAAATATATTTTTGTTAGTTCAGCATTCAATTGTCCGTCATAAATTCTCGACTAAAGACAGTCCGATTCAATAAATTAAATGGTTAACAAGCATGATTCGAAATAAATGTTAATAGCTATTGTGCTATAGTTTTCGATTGTACTCTTCATATACTGTAATGTCCACCTTCTAACTTAGTGAAATATATGCTAGTTGTGTTCTTGTTCGAATTGCATCTCTTACTACTTAATAGTATTGATTTTTCTTAATAATTTCTCTTATGATTTTTTCACATTTCCATTTTGTGTAACATATTACTGGGTACTGTAAATAAATAACTTCTTTTGATGGAACAATATGATTAGTACTTTCATTCTTGATATTTGAATAAACAATTGGTTTTCAAACCACATTTATCATCTGATTATCTAGGTCAAATAAAATGAACGCATAATTCACTAATAAGAATTCAGTTTTGTATAGGCTATCAAAATAAAGCTTTTGAATATAACATTATGCATATAGCTGGACAATAATTTATAGAAAGATTGATATAAGTACGAAACTTAATTCAAGTTAATGTTTAATTGTTTTAACTCTATATTTATATAATATTCGTTGTATTATGTGATTATCGTCAAAAGGTTATATATATATATATATATATATATATATATATATATATATATATCCTGCTTTAAGCTACTTAGCTAATTTATGGATGGTTATCCAATTTGAAGATAAGTTTCATCAAAAACTAATATCAAGTAAGTATAGTTAAAATTCTAATCTTCTGGTTTCCAGTCTTTGAAAGACCTAAACCAGTACTATACAACTATCTAGTACTCCTTGATCTCCTAGTACTTATTTAACTGAAGTTGGTTAATGATGAAAATTGGAAGTGTTGTAGTCTTTAAGCTGGATCGTTTAGTTGTGAACCTTTGATTGTTCTTCTAAACAACATCAAGTACTTCCAGAAGAAAATTATTTGAAGATATAGTAGTTTGATACAGAAAAACTACTAATCTTGAGATAGTTCTGTATGGAAAATCTGTCTCACTTTAACTGTCGTTCAGACATCTTATCATTGAACACTTAATATTTTATTGATATTAAAATAAAGTTTTGAAATATAATTATTTTTTACTAGTTTTCATAATAGGTTGTATTTATTCAGTATACACTTAAATATGCTTGTTATCGTTACTATTTGAGATGTTTTACAGTAGGGGAAATGTTGAGGACATTTGGATGTTTGGGACTATTTTTCAGATTGTTATTATTACTTATTATTTATGTATAATTTTATTAAACGATCGGATTATTGTATTTGTATATTCTCAGTATTGTAGGCTTGTTTAAGACTTATTAACTATTGTTATACCATCTATTACTTCTTAATTATTGGTAATTTATTATGTACCGTTCTCTGCTACTTATAGCATGATTGTATGTAAAGTATGATTTCATATTTGGGATGCATTACGATAACTGATAACTCATGTATATATGCTAGTGAGTAATTAAGATAGACGTATCGGCCGACTGAAACATACAATAGAAGCTTGACTGCTGTATTTTACTATCGGACTGAAGATTGGGAACAGAAGAAGGGGCTACGATCAGGATTAATAAAAGTTGGGGTCACTCTAAAGCTTACCAGTCAAATTACGTATCTGGTCTAAGCTTAGAATGATAGAAAGAGGCGAATTAGTTTACACAGTTGTAGAGAAATTATAAACGGAATTCTGAATAGCAAATCTAGCAAGTAATCTCGTTTAAAATCACAAACATAATAAATTTTACTTTTGTTAATAACCTGAATATTTAAATAATGGTATATGTCGTCATCACGATCATATCTTTGTAATTACATTTACATCGAAGTTTATCTATTACTTAAATTTAGTCAATGTTTCTTTGTGTATCACCTTTTGTCTCACTGTTTTTAACTTTCAGCCATTCAGTGTGTTAGTTTACATACTTTAGTCTTTTTTATGGTGATGTTGTAAAGTCTAAAGCCCTGTTATTTATTAGTTTCTAAAACTTTAATGATATACTTTATATTATCATTATCGTCATCATCATCATAATATTATTATTGTCGTCTAATTACCGCTAAATGCGCAATGTTCTCTGTATATTTTTGTCTTAAATATTTTTCTCTGACCAACTAATGTGATACTTTTTTCAACAACACTCATTAGGCACTGTATTTTAATACTTTGATAGTAAGAGAATTAAGATGTATTTTTTTAAAATCTTCAAATGAGCTTTTCTGTTAACGAGGGACAAATTTTATTCAATCGGGTATGGCCTCCTAAGAAAACCATCTGCTTCGGTTTGGGCACCCGGGCAGTATCACAGACCTCGCACAAATCAAATGAGATTTGTGTGGCGCATATGTATTTGGTGCCTTATTGTACCAATATCTCTGTGTTCAAATAAAATAAAATAAATAGTTTCAAGTGTATCTGTTCATTGGAATATTGTTCTATATTATTTTTGTCCCGTCGTATTTTTAAATTCCCATAATGATCCTGCCTTTACATATATATCATTATTACTTTTAAACTAAGGCTAATTGAGTTTTATCTTGAATCCAGTGAGCTTCATATAGATATAGAAGTGTATAAAAGTTTTTAACCGTCCTCCTTCAAATGAAAAAAAGTTTATGATTGAATTGAAAGACTTTATTCAAACCAATCTTCAAAGGTGATGAAAATCATTTTCTGATATACACAGATGGTCTGTTCTAATCGCTTTAATTATAAAACAAGTTTGGTGCTACATACGTGATTGTCAATATATTGCTACGGTTTGATGGTTAACCTATTTGGCTTTTACCCATTGAGTTGTGGGTTCGAGATACGTTACATGGTGTCATTAACTGTCGGTTAGATTCATCCTAACATACTTAGACTACCTGGCCACTGATGGGAACATTAGGGTGACATATTTCAGAATTTTTCACAACGTTGCAGATCCATTCACTACTTATCTGCCTCTCGATTTCGAATTGCATTACTCCTTTATACATAACTTTTCATTCTGCCATTCTGAACCAAATCTTTAGTCGTTATGATTGGCATTGCTATTACATTATTTCTATCTGTGTTGTAATCCATCTTGTTATTTTCATCTCGTCGTACTAATATGATGTGGTGAATTATGTCAGGCTCTTCGTTGATGATGACTGACTATGTTACAGCTGTTTTGCTTTGTTCGATCAGGTAGCATCTGTAATTCTCATATAATATGTATTTCACAAAAAGAGTAATCTAATCTCATTTTATTTAGCACACAAATAGAATAGGTCGTTTCACATTTACTGTACACGCCTGCGCTTATTCACTCACATGTGTACAAAATAAAACTAAAACCTTTTCATGCACTTTTTAAAATTTTTCATGTAGACAATGTCAGATGAAGCCATTTCCTGTATTCGGGAATATATGCTTGATTTCGATATTTGTAAATGTTGTATCATCCGGTTAACTAATGGTCGCTGTCAACAAACAGATTTGCTCAATGTCTTTCATTCACAAACATATCCTGATGAGTTTATATGTAAACTTTGTTTTGGCCTGTTGCATAATCCTTATTTATGTGATATTCCACGAAATCTTAATGAATCACAAAATGAAGTGAAATTTACCAATGAAGAATTTGATAAATATATTTTGCTCTATTTATATAAAGAGTTAAATGGATCCCATTATCAATATACAGCATATCAACTTCGGGTACGTGAGTAAATAATATTCATTGTTTTTACTTTTTTTCCTTGTGTTATGAAGCGGTAAGCAGTGGATATGAAACCACTCATTAAAGTCAGTTATAAGGTATCATTACCAAGGTTTGATTTGATAATTTCGAATAAATTGAGCATTGGGTTGATTGTTATAAATGAAAATAATATATTTGTAATATCCCAATGCATAGATTAGATTTTCTGACATTTCGTGGCTTAGTGTAAGTCACTTATTCAGAGAATAAATAACCTAATCTAACTTTCTACTCATTGGAATATTACAAATATATCATTTTTATTTATAAAGTCAGTTATTGGTTACAGGTAGGGCGAAGTACCTATTCTGGATTCCACTACTAAGCACAATCGATATATATACTAAGACTTGGTCTCAGTTGAAGACAACCGATAGAAAATTCTCCGTAGTTTTGACTTGTCAGTTAAGCTTATCTGAGACGTTGAGAGAACTGGTTCTTATACTCATTCATTTTTGTGTGATCTGGACCACAATCATTCCATGTCGCTTAATGTATACCCCTAAGATTCTAGTGCCATGGAACTCGAACGATGCTATGGAAATTCTCCTTGATTGTTCTTCATTGTTTAGGCAAGAAAAACTGAATACAATTTTGTGTTTTGTTATTTATGTTTGAAACAGATATACAAGGGGAGTCTAGTGCTCCGAACGGTAGTTCACATTCCTTAAACCAGTCTCGTGTCTACTTAATTCCATCGACTGACCTTTTTTATCTGTTACACCATACTACTTAGTCATATTCAGTAGTCTATATTCCATAATTTTTATGCTTTACCTGCTATGTGACTTTGTCGTAACAAACTACTAATCCGGTCTATTTGTACTCTTATTTTAATGTTTTAGTTTGTCTCCTCGATAGTAGTGGTATTTATTTGCTCATTGTTTATGTTCCAATCGGAAAGTTGTTTATTTTGAAACGGCCTACCTACTTTTGAAACAGTACTTGTGCCATTTTCGTTTGACGCAACCATATATTGTTATCTGACTTGTAATGCTTGTTACAAATGTATCTTTATGCGCTTCCATAGTGTAATTGACATCTTGCGATTTGATCATCTTGAATTCATAGTTTTCTACAATAGTACCATGATTTCAGTCTCGATACTTTCATCGTAAATCAGTTGTTGAGTTGGAATTCTCCCATAAGGTTTATATTATATGTAGGATACAGACGCAATATTGTGTTTTTCAGTTATTTTGGCTAATTATTTCAATGTACTGCATGTATGGAACATTTCGGTATCAACTTCATGGTTTATGGTTAGTTTTCAATACGAGCTGTGACACTAGCTAAAGAAACATTTGAATGCAAGATTACTGATTATATTTTTCATCTTAGTTCAGAACTTATCAGTAGTCTTGACTTACGACTATTTCACACAAAATCTATACACCTCGTTTCTTATCATCATTATAATCGTCATGAATAAGTCTATAACAAAATGATATTCAGTAAATTGTTCTCATATTATTCTTAATATTGCTACCAGTAATTGCTTTTAGCCAAGTTTTGTTTCATTTATGCTATTGTGTTTCTTTTTTCGATTAAAAAGGTCACTGAACCGATCAATATTATGCTACGTGAACAATTTTTATGGGATGAATTAATTTGTATGTCGACTAATCATGTAAACAATAATTCGAATAGTAGCACTATTGAGAAATTGAATAATCTACAGACGAAATTCACTAAAGATGATATCAATACATTAAGATCATATGCTATTCCAGTAAAAACTGCATGGAAATGGATTGTAGATGGAAAGTTATCATCTTTACTGAAAGTGAGTTTGTCATGTTATGTATTTCTAATTTGTTTCACAATAATATGTGATTTTGAGGATGTTTTGTTCTTTGTTTGAACTGTCTTTCTCGACAATATCATCAGCACAAACTTCAGTAGAAAGTAAGTTATTGAAATTTCTCTAAAATTAACTACCAGCTTGTTCTGTTGACTTAGACTTTGATTAATTTTTGTCCATATATTTGTGTGATTGTTGTTTGTTTACCTTAATTGTTTTCACATCTGACCTGAGGTCTAGGTCGACAAAACAAGTTGAGAGTCAATTTCGGATAAATCACTGCTTATTAGAGTTTGTTCTGATTATATAAGGAAAGATAGTGCAGTTTCAAAATTAATCCATCCATCTCAGAAATTCGGACACCTTCAAAACTCTCATCTTAAGTTACAAATATTCTCCATCATCGTAATACTATGGGAGTGTATTTTCAGTAAATCATAACATAAGCTCACCATCAATAATTCTAACAGCTACTGATATGTCTGATCAGAGATACTATCGATCTGTCATTTAGTGAAAGCAGACATACCCAGCTACACTAAATATAAGAAATTATTTTATAGAGTAAAATTCATTCTACTTACTAACCACTCGATATTTTGTATTAATAAACTCATACTTTGGTCTACATCTTGTTTTCTATCGAACTGTCGGGTAACTGGATGATTGTATCACGTGATCTAATGATGTAAATGTCTCTATTAACACTAAAACATTCACATCAAAGCACTTACTACATTTAATTCTTAATGAAATTATCGAAAAGAAATTTTGATTTACTGAATTGTATTAATTGTTTCACGATAAATTAAACAACTTTGTTGCATTAGCTTCATACTTTTTTATTATCTATTTATACGTGTCATCACAAAGCTGGGTGACTCTGATTTGAATTTATTGAGAGTATCAGTTTCGTTAAATTTTTAATCATATCTTTCTAATGAGTATCAACTATTACGAAATGTATGTCTAGAACTTTCTACCGATCATTTCAAAACTATTTAACACTTAAATATGCTCATCTCAAAATGATTCAACTACCCTGATACTGTGGTGCATGCTACTTATATTGATATAAGTAGTATATGACGCGAGTTAGGAATGTAATGTCTGGCAGCAGAAGATCGGGAAGATCAAGAAAAAAAGAGCGGTAATAGAAAGCAATTAGTATAGAAATGCAAGAACAATGAAGTTCGAGACAATTATTGAACATTTTTCAAAGTATTATAGTATGGTTTTTCTATTTTACCAAGTAACTCTGTAATTTTGTACTAAATGTCCTTACCTGCGTTCTTCTTCACTACAATACTGTACCTATATTTTATCTCCTAGAACACGGTTGGCTACAATTAAATGTATTTAACACAAAATTACAGGGCATCTCAATAAAATCTGAGAACCATATATCAAATCGTTAATTTGCAGAATGTCCACTAATTGTTTCAAAATGCCTCACACTTCATTGTCCTTGCAATTTCATACAAATTGCATTTAATTCCCACTCTTGCTTTCTTGTTCTTCCCCCATCTTCTGCTGCCAAACATTACATTTCTGACTCGCGTCATATACTACTTATATCAATATAAGTAGCACGCACCACACTATTATTATTATTATATTATTCAATAAATGCTCAAAATTTATACCTCATAATGTAATATGTTTAATATAAAATAATCTTGTTTCTATATCATATATATATGTATATAGGTTCCATTGATTTACTCTTTACGTGATGATACAGAATTAAAATTAATTAAAACCAATGAATTCAATATAAACAATTTAAATTGTGATCAAGAATCCAATATTATTTGTTTAACTATAGAATTTTCAAATTATTTCATACAATTAGATTATGATGAATTTTTAAATTATTTAAAATATTCTTCATTAAATTCTATACGTTCATGGATTATACGTTTAAAAAGTATTAAATTACCACGTAAACGTTTAAAATTTAATTCTGGAAAAGAATTAACAACAAAAACATTTTCTTCTCAAACATTAAATTCAATGAATAACAATCCTTCATGTGTAATTAATATTGGTTATAATTTGCCAAATTTATTACATTTCTCTCGAGGACTATTAACAGAACTTATTCCTTTATTAAAAGATATTTGTTTACAATCAAATTATTTAAAGAAGTAAGTATCATTATTTTTTTTTTAAAATTCATTTATTTAAACACATAAATATTGGTACAAGAAGGCACCGAATATCTATATATATGGCACACTTCATCATTCGATTTGTGTGAGAGGCGGGATACTGCTCGAGAGCCCAGATCGAAGAACGTAATCTTCGTAGAAAGTCACTACCCCGAGCCTTTAACCTAAAGGTCTAATGCACAAGACAGTAAAGCAATGTTAGGAAATACGGTCCCATGGTAGTTGGTGACTAACAATAAGTTCATACACCATTTGTCTCCTCAGGATCCTGGAGCCAGTGTGTACTATTGATTTGGAATCAGGGTTTTCCAACCCCCCCCCTAGGTGGATCCTCTGTATCCACCAACCTGGTTAAATTGCCAGACATTCGATTTCCATCTTCTCAATTTCGTAAACAATACTCACACCACGAGAAGGCAGTGAGTAGGACTTCTCTGGTAGTGGCTGTATACGCGGCCATACCAGGGTATTTGGGGGCTAAGGTTTCATGAAAAGGACTAAATATTACTATCATGAACTGTCATTAAAAATTTACGAAGATAGGCTCTTCTCTTGATGTAACTACAATCAGTCGAAAGGATCATATCCAGTTTTATCTGGAAGATTTATTTTAAGTGATATGGCTTAGGATCCGTCACAGTGACGTAGATTCATTTATTCCTTATTCACCCTCAAATCCCGAGTTTCAAACTGTTTTATTTTTTACCACACAAATCCGTTTTTTCCTATCGAATTATATTCGAATAGTAATCTAATTTTTTCTTCTCTCCCCGGTATTACTGCTTTTATTACTCTGATGTTCATTTAAATAATTCCATCTTAATATAATGTTGGCTAATGTATATCTTTTTGTAATGTTGTATGCTGCTTATTACTGACCGCGATATTTATTAAATCCACCAAGAAAGAAATGATTTCGTTTGAACATGTTCAAATTGTCCGTAGAAATATATCAACAAGTGAGTATCTCAAAACATCAACGATCCAATAACAAGAGTACATAAAGTGATTCGACCGAAAGACAGGTTCAAAGTTATACGAAATTAACTATTATTAATTAATTATCAGAATGGGAATTTTTGGAAATTGTAGTTGAATTCGTGAGTCGATCTAACCCAGACCAGCATTAAAAACCTGGGAGCACTAGACGGCCATTTTGTTCTAGTATGAAACTCCTCAGCAGTGAATATCCACGATCCTGCACACGGAACTCGGATTTAGGACCTTCGATTTCGCACGCGAACGCTTAATTAATTTGTTAAAAACAAGTCTTTCAAAACTTTTTATTAAGCCTAGTATCACTTATTTACGCAAATAAAAGTTGATCTCCATCCAGTTCGGTAGTTAAATTGGTTTTTGGTTAATGAAAATTTCAATTTAATTATTTATAAGAGAGGGCATAGTTCATTATGTTATATGAATACTTCAGATAGAATACGTTTTTTTGTGATCGTAAACTTTAGGCAGAATATTTCAAGAAATGATTTTTAAAAAAGAGTATTCGCCACTCAATTTTAATCGAAACTTCAATTTAATCAGCATTCAACACAGTCATTGAAATAAAGATACTATATTCGTTGTATCCAAATAGAATATACTCTCTGTGTGAATCAACCCACTGATAAAATGATTATTAAAACAGGTTTCTTAACCAATCAGCTCTTTTCCATGTTTCTAAAGAGAAATGTAAATCAATGACTAGTCGACCTTATACATTGTATACGTTTTCTATGCAATCCTTGTACAAATAAGTTGTGTTTTCTTTTACCTATTTTGATTCTTGTTCCGATTGTTGACCTGATCAAATTCTCCTTGTTTTCAATTTCTGTACTGTGTCTCATCCTTTTGTTATAAGTGAATAGAGATTAATTCCCTTTGAACATTAATTAATAACTGACCAATTTTCCCTACAAATTTGTAAGGTATTAGTTTGTTTGATAAGGAATTACTTACAGAATATATATCCCATCTAAATAATCTTATACATTCTTTTTTTCTTTTTCAATTCATAGAATTTCTTCAAGCAATTGTTCACTTGCATTCATAACATCTTTGAAAATATTTCGAAGTATACCACTTTATTTGGCTGGTCGTTATGTGAAATTAAGTCGACGTTTGCCTCAATCCCCATGGATAATTGGATCAAAGCGTAAATTAGATTCATCTGTTGAAGAACTTATCACTCAATTAATATTACCTCGATTTGGTGCAAATTCTCAAAGTTGTTTTATTACAGCTGGTAGAGAAGATGTTGATGTTAGGTAATTTTCCATTTTTCCCCATCTTTGAAATTTTATATGTCAATTATTTTATAGTTTACATCAAGGGATGACCTTAGTAACACAACCACTGAAAAGCAGGAAGCATTAAACAGCTGTTTCGTTCTAACGTGGGATTCCTCAACAACACGCGTTCACGATTCTGCTGGGTCCTGTAAGTAATTCATTGAGTTATAGTGAGAAGTCGTGAGCAGTGGAATTTAGCCATATCGTGCGTCAGGCAGTTGTACCCATCAGTAACATTTGACAGTGGTTATGCAGTATCGTGAGTTGATTGAAGGTAGACATGTACACCGTTACATTCCGGCCCTGGTCTAAAGGCTAAGCGTTGTCCGCCAGATCGGAGATCCTAGGCTTGGTCTCCGGATGGGTCTTGGATTCTAACTGCTGAAGATTCTAATATATATATATATACCAGGTTTGAAGCGGTTACGAGTTCACTTAGACTGCGAACGGAACAAAGACTCAGTGACCAAAAGCACAATAAGCTGGCTATTCGATGCGTCCCAGCCCAGCTAACTAGAGGAAGAAGTTCAACCTTGGAATAGGGCAAGTATATTTCTCAAACAGCCAAAAACGAGCGATAACAACAAATACAAACCAAAACGTATATATACAGAACGAAACCGTCCTTGGGGAGAGTTACCAAATAGCATAGACACAACGAACCAATGGCATTTAAGATTCTCCCAAGTGGGAAATAAGACATAAAGGTGAAAATTAGCGAAAACAAAGAAATTCAGATTTTCAAAATAAAATTACAAAATTAAGTCCTTTTCCAAGTGATTTCTGGAGATCTAACATCCCCAACACACCCCTTTTTGCTAGCGTACTTTCCTGGGGTCGACTTGCATCTGGACTGTTTCTCGCCGCTGTCGGAGAGGCCACCTTCTGGAACGGAGATCAGCCTGTTGTTGAGCTTCTTCTCGTGGTGGGGCTGCTGGTAAGCTGGAGTTATCAAGCAGGATGTCAAGGGGAAGACTTACTTCTGTTGATGGGCGGTCTGGGGCTATCCGCTTCCGTAGTTGATTTCGGTGTCTAGTCCACGTGTCTCTTATCACTTTTACCTCGAACATAACTTGACCTAGTCTTCCAACCACACGTGCTTCGGTTCAAGGACCATGATTTACTCTGTGGTCTCGAACGAACACCGGGCATCCAACTTCGTACGTTAGCAGCTTCTGGGATTTGTCCTGAGATGGTGGTGGTGTGGTTCTTGGGCACATCAGACTGTGGATCCTTCCCATCAGGATCTCTGCCGGGGACTTCTGCTTTGGTAGCATATCACTAAGTGTTTCTACTGGCGTCCCCTCCTCTTTCGACTTCATTAGAGCTCTCTTGAATGTATTCACAAATCGTTCTGCTTGGTCGTTTGACTGTGGGTGGTAAGGTGGAGAGCAGAAGTGTTTGATCGATAGGCGTTTGCAAAAATTTTGAAATTGACTCGAGGTGAACTGCGAACCGTTGTCGGATACGATTACATCTGGTAATCAGTTGCATCGTTTGGGTAGTTTTTGTTGGGATGACGGCAACGATTTCTGGCCATTTTGAAAAGGCGTCAACAACGACTAGATAGGTTATTCCATTAATTGGGCCTGAGAAATCGACATGTATCCTGGACCAGGGATACTCAGACTGTGGCCATGGGACCGATGGCACTTTCTCATTACATTTTGCCGCCTGCTGACACTGCTGCATTTTCCTACTAAATCCACGATGTGTTGGTCCGTGAGGGGCCAATAAGCATAGCTTCTGGCGATGGATTTCATTCGTTTTATACCAGGATAACCAGTGTAGAATTGCTTTAGAATTTTTGATCGTAGGGACTCTGGTACGACCACTCTACCTCCAAACATCAAGCATTCATTCACGACACATAATGAGTCCCGACGGTGGTAAATCTGCTTATAATCATCATCGAGTCCAGTTGACAGCCAGCCATTGGTGACGTATTTATTCGCTCTCTTAATGATGGACTCGTTCCTGGATGCAGATTGTATTTCAGCTGCTGAGACTGGCAAAGCACGAACAGCAGTTGTCAGGTAACATTGCGTGTGGCCGTCTGTCACTAGGGAGGCAATAACTGCATCTTCGTCGGTCGTATGGCATTCGCTGATAAGTCGTGACAATGCGTCAGCCTGACCAGACTATTGGGTGTGTGGGTACTCAATGTCAAAATCATAACCCAAAAGTATCAAAGCCCATCTCTGGAGACGGTTTGCAGAATGGGCTGGAACACCAGATTTCGAACCGAAAATTGTGAGAAGAGGCTTGTGGTCAGTGGGAAGAGTGAATCTTCAACCGTACAAGAATTTATGGAAACAGCGTACTGAAAACACAAGGGCGAAAGCCTCTTTTTCTATTTGGCTGCACTTTCTTTCCGCTGGAGTCAGTGTGCGGGATGCATACATGATAGCTTTCTCTGTTGCGTCCGTGAACTGGTGTGAGATGACAGCACCGAGCCCAAAGCTGAAGCATCTGCAGCCACAATGATTGGCATGGATGTGTCGTAGTGCGTCAATAATAGTTCAGAGCTAATGATTGTTTTCAGCTTGCAAAATGCAGCTTCACATTCTTTTGTCCAGTTCCAGCTGATGTTCTTATTCAGAAGATAATTTGGCGGGGCGCGTATGTCGTGCATCGACGGAACGAAAGCTGAGTAGTAGCTAATTAATCCCAGGAATGATAGTAGCTCAGATATGTTAGTGGGAGTCGGCATCAGTTTTATAGCTCGAATGTTTTCAGGATCTGGTCTGCGACCTGCGGCATCAAAGATGAATCCCAAGTATTTAACTGACTTCAAGAAAAGCTGGCATTTTTCTGGGCGTAATCGGGATCCGTTGTCGCTGATGCGTTGTGGTACAGCTGTCGTGCGTTCTCGAAGCTGTTCTAACGATGTGGCCACGGGATACTCGATAGAATGGTATCCATTAGTTGCTGAAAACTAGATGGGGCAGTTTTAACATCAAATGGTAGGCGATTATACTGAAACAATCCACGGTGAGTAATTATGGTAACTCTCGAATCTTCAGTCACTTCTACTTGTAGATAGGCATCAGCGAGATCCAGCTTTGCAAAAAACTTTCCGCCATTTAGCATAGTGAACAGATCTTCAGGAACTGGCAACGGGTAACAATGTTGTTCTAGAGCTGTGTTAAGACCTGTTGAGAAATCAGCTCATATTCGTATTGTGCCATTCGCTTTCTTAATAACCACAATGTGTGCTGCCCAAGCAGAATAAGAAACAGTTGTAATAACCCCCTTAGTTGAAGGCGAAACCATATATCAAATGTGACTTTTGAATCAGGATCATAATGAAACTGAGATGCTATTTACAATACCATCAACTGACGGTGCAGAAGTAGCAGCATTAGAAGTGCTTGGTTGCATGTTAGGCGTAAGTTCAGCATCTGCTAACATTTGCATCTAATCTCAACATAGTGCACGCAATATCGAGTCACCTAGACTGGTGGCCACATTGCAACTCGATCGATAGCATTCGATCTGCCCTAAGAAAGACTTGACACACATGACATATATTCTTTCCCCCCCCCATTGGCTTATTATCATAGAGTATGTTGTATGAGTATTTCATTACATTTTTTTGTAAAACTGCTTTGAATATGAATATGTCTAAACTGACACCGAAAGCAAGTACATTTAATATTCTAAAAATAAACAAATATATACGTACCCCGCAGAATGTTAACTCAGGTTGAGCAAAACGTTCAACTTAGGAAAACTACAGCCAATATTTTCTACACGTTTAATGGTGGCATCGACTAGCCAACTCTATCAACTCAACTATTTCTATGAACCAGTTCACATCGGCAAATGTTCTAGGAATTTTACCTTTCCATACACTCAAGCACCTTCCAGCGTGGTCAAACACTTACCTAGTTAAAACAGTCGACAGCTCTGTTCAAATTGACTATACAGACTATGTATGAATCGATCGTTTACAGTAGTTTGTCGCGTTAGTGATTATCTGCTAAAATCAATCAAATAATCCAAATATGTTTATTTATTTATCAACTTTTAGATGTCTTGGATTGGGTCGGCCATTCGCAATTGAAATTAGCAACTACGAATTATTACCGTCACAAATTATTCAACAATGGTCTGTTAACGATAAACTTGCCGTAGAATTTAATGAAAATGAACCATTGGATTTATTGAAACTTGCATCGTTTGTCAATTCGACAACTCAGGGTCGAGTGTTTATACGTGATTTACAGGTTGGTAGAGGGAAAAATGTGCTTTTCTTATTATTAGATAATGAAACTGTCCATCTTAATCTTTTTCAACATTCCTACACAATTTTGTTTCATTGATATTAAAACAAAAATCTGACTGAATTGAGAAAAAAACAATAGCAGCCATCGGAAGCCCTTGAACGTATCTGCAAGCTGGGGAAAGACTGAAAATAATTCCTTCAATCAGCGTTCAATAGGCAATTCCCAAAGAATTCTTCTCATACTTCTAACCTTTTGTCTTCCGTTCGTTGTTGAAGCATTGAAAATTCCGGAGAACTGGAAAACGATTTGAAGTCAGTATCAGGCATTTACCTAATAGGTTTATCAATAAATAAATTAACTTAAACTTGCGACTTTGAAGGTTTTGCGATAGCGAAGATTTAGAGTCAAATTAAAAAGTGGTATTTCGTCAGGATTAGTTTTTTAGACAATGTAATGTAAGATTGGTGATTGGCGTTTGATATTTAAAGCAAGGTTAATTATTGCACATAACTATTAACATTTGCATACAGATTATTTTATTCGGGATTATCTAAAAAATAATCAAAATTGCCACAAAACAAATTAAACCAGTTCGATTAATTTCTACCTGTTTTACACGTCTGGTTGTAGGTTTTTGATAGTTTTTGAATATTCTGTTAGTCAATGTGGTTACCGGTGATGAAAGGAACCCGAGTCGGTAATGAACTCATCATTTCTCTGAACATATTGGGTTAGTAAACATTACTTCAATAGACGTAAACAATGAGCGAATCAACAGTACAAAAATCTAAGGTTGTTTATCTTTTTTGGCCTAAATTTCGTTTTATCAAACGCCTGTCGCATGACAGAATTAGTTCTAGTAGAATATAAGCACAAAAAATTCTCCCTGTCGGACATATAATATCAATGTATGGAATATTCAAGACGAAAGTGTACAGTATGATTACTCGAGGTCTGCTGTAGAATACCTCATTTCACAGAGCTAATCCGACTTTTTATCAAACTCTGGTTGAATTTAATCACAACTTTTATACAAAATACACTTTTCGATCTCTGAGAGTTTTTCTCCCAAAGGATTTTTGAACTAACAAGATAACTAATGATATCACAACCGTTGTTCTTCACAGCGACAATATTACAATTCATCTGAAGCTAAAAAGTATTGGAAAAACTTTTTATTGTACTACGAGATCCTTTATCGACGCACAACTGCGACTTTATATTAGATTTCATGGTCGTGGAATATCAGGAGCTTTCTGAAACAGGAAACTAACTATTAGGTCCCCAATCAATAGTTTTAAAATATCGTGATCGCTGCGAGGTCTTCAGGTCGTGGACTCGACACATCTCGAGGTTGAAAAGTCCCAGATGAAGACGTAAATCCTATCCAGTGTTCCCCTGTTTTCAACTTATCAGTTATGATCATTTTAGTCTGATAAATGACCTTAATTAACATATGGATTTATTTTACACTGTCGAAGTTGTTTTGACCTAGTTGATATTATTGAATAGTAAATATTTCGTATTACTTTAGGTTTCTGTGTAAATAGGTTTGCAAACAATTCGTACTTGTTTCAAAATATAATCGTTTCTGTTAATTTACATTTACTTACTTAGTTAGTCTCGTCAAAATCTGCTACAGCCGCATTAAAATTAGGTGAAATGCACAAGGCCAAATGTTATCGAGCTGTTTGTTGGTGTCCTCATGGTGGAATTAAAACTGAATTACTTATGAAAATGTTACAGTATACCACTTTGTTAAATCGAACGAATGAAAATCTTGATCATGTTAACATTCATTGGCCTCCTAATAAAACTGATTCTATGAAATATGGGAAAATTTATTTTGGTCCACTGGATATTCATCAACTTACACCTATACGTGTATTGCATAGAAGACCATTGTTGAATCGTAAAAGAACCATTTATCATTTATGCTTCATGTCTTATGTGGAAACAGTAGGAGCTAATATTTTCGAGGTACAATTATTTTATTGATTGATATTGTCTTTTTGTTTATATATATATATATATATATATATATATATATATACTCCGAAAATATTGAGAAGCATCTTATCCAGTCAGCGTTCACTAGAAGTTGTGCCAGAAACATGTCGAGTTTCTGATTGGATGATTACTTATACTACTACTATGTTTAGTAGCATTCCAGAATTTTTGGGAAGCCCAAGGATATCTAAAATCCTATAAAAACCCTATATTTTCTGTACATAAATGAACCTTTGTAGTAAGATGTTTCTTACATATTTCGCGCGTTTTCTCTCGTATTGAACCCGCTATGTAGTTCTAGTCTGGGGTTACTAGAAGAGCCTATGAACCAAATCTAGAATTCAATTAGCAAGACTTATCAATTAACACAAAAGTATTATCATTTTATGTACTACGTGCTTTAATCGAATCTCAGTTCTGCTAACGACTTCTGCAAAACGCTTTTTTATATCAAGATTGAACCGTTGATTAAATATTTTTAACATAATAAAAAACCCCTCTAAACCATTTGCTTGTAAATAACCTAGACGACATACTGATTCACTCACTGTTAAACGGACGAATTAAATGCCCACTGCCTTTTTAATATATTTTTCTCAACTTGAATAAAAGTTTACTTTAGATTAATTTATTCTTGTCAGTATGACAATCATTAATGGATCACAATCTAACCAATTCCTTCCTTAGTGAAACAGTCTATTTTTAGTAGTTGTACAAGTAAGGAGATAGTAAAAAGGGTACATTGTCTTACTTCGTAAGTTACTATCATAAATGGAATCAGTAAAAAGTTTATTAAACACCGCAAACTATGAGCATTCCCCTGACTAGTATTCTTTTGAGTGATCTTAACTGTACCACTTATAAGATATTTATAGTTTATGTCAATTTAATGTTTACATAAGTGCCTTCTAAGGATTTTTAATAGAAACCTAGTGATTTCTTCATACGACTAGTTTTTCCAATCTTTTAGATAATTTATTGACATATGTTTCTGTCAATTACTTTATCATTAGTTCGGATACATATTTGTGAAATCAGTTCATCAAAGTGAATAATTGAACTTAGATATTACATCTTCAGTTGAATTGATTTCGTGGTACATCTTGTTCTCTTGTTGAACCGAAATATGACTCATCAACTCATATTTAAACTGGACCACTGAGAAACATAACTATCTAGCCCCTGAATTTTTAATCTTGAATATGATTGAATAATATCATAATCTTACGTTTCTTTTATGCCTGAATATTAAATATTCCGTTATACCTGTACAGGTATGATTAGAATTGGTTTATGAGCATAATCAAATAGATGAATATCACACATAAGCTTCATGAACTGCAAAACAATACACAATTTGCTATGTTTGAAGCAATTACGAGTTCACCTAGTCTGAGAATGGAACAAAGACTCTGTGAGTAAATACCAATACCTATTCTGATGCATTCCAGCCCCTCTAACTAAAGAGAGAAAACCAAGTTCGAAATAGGGAAATATATTCCGCAAGCAGTCAGAAGCACGAGCAAATAACAACAGGCACAAATCAAACGTATATATACTGTATAAAATTGTCCTGAAGAAGTTACAGAATAGCATACTAAAAAATACAAAGAATCAATAGCGTTTAAGATTCTCCCAAGTGGGAAATACGACATGAAGGTGAAAATGAGCACTTTTGGAGCGAAAACAATTAATTCAACTTTTTAAAATAAAATTACAAAAATAAGGTATTTACTAAGTGAGTTCTGGGGATCTAACATCCCCAACACAATCCTAGTTGTGAGAGAAATTGTAAATTCTCAACCCGGGTAAAAAAAACGATATGCACAATATCAGTTTATCATTAAATACTATCAATTGAGAGTAGACTTGTAGTGTTAGTCATTAGTTTTAGCCCATAATATATCTTATTCTAGTTTCCGGACATTCCATTCTATTCATTCTACTTGAGTCATGTTTTGACCTTGTTAATTATTCGCTTGTCAGTCCTGATTGTTTTTATATGAGCGTGTATGTGTGTACACTTCATGTCCCGTGACATCAGTCTGTAGTTCATTTTGTCTGCCTATAAATACTGAGTAATGCCCGGCTTGAAATGGAGTTGGCTTCTCAGCCATCCTCCCTGTGCGTCATTTTGCTTGGCTCTATTTCATTCGCTCCATGTACGAAATATATGTATTGTCAAGTCAATTCTCGTTATTCGACTTACTTAATTCCGTTATTGGATAACGCGATCTAAGTCGACAATGATATACGAGAATAGGTGATAGCAATCTTCCATACAATCTAAAAATGGAGTCAGATCCATGGGCCACTAAAGACTTTATAATTTTAACATTAGGTACAACTTTAAAAAGAATCTCCAGAACACAAGCAAAATGTCTATTAATAATTTCTTATTTTATCTAAAAATAAACTTTAAAAGTATAAGCTTCATTTCTAACTTAATGTTCCAGACAAATATTTGTTTATTTCACGATATATTGTACATCTACTTGTTTTCTATATTCATAGTTCGATGATTTTAAATCATGGTCAAAACTATATCCAGAAGATGAACTGTTCATATTAGAAATTCGTTGTGAAGCTGGCACCTATGTGAAAGAACTTGTTCATGGAGATCTTGGCCGATGTAATCCTAGCTTAGCAAGTATATTTGGTTGTCAATTAGATATATTAGCGTTGGATGTAATTGGTGTTGAACTTGACTGGCCTAAACGTCTAAAAGATCCTATACTCAATTAATTTGTAAAGTGAAAATATTTTTATTGTAAAAAATTTATTTTTAACAGAAACGTAATTTCTTTATCAAAGCATTGCTTATTCCATAATAGTTGATGTGCAAGATCAAACTGATTGGTCTCACTTATCACATTCCCTTTTACGTTATTTGTTCCAACACTAACTACCTAGTTAATGATAAAGCTTTTTTATCACAAAACCAACTGATAACTACTGAACAATTCGTCTGGAATACACATGATTGCAATCATAGCCAGCAATCTTTAGCCACGACTATCACTTGTAATGATGTGCTAACACTATCCTTGTTTCAGGTTTGGTAAGACTGTAAAATTAGTTTGTTCACCTTTTAATAAAATGATAACTTGAGTATAATCCCATAATTATAAGCAAACGGCATCACAAATAAAAAAACTGTATAATATAACTTGTGGACATTTGCTTACTTTTTCAATACAATTAACACCACGAAATCACTTAGTCGAAATGACCGAACCAACATCCATACACTCATTTATAAATGGCGGTCGTCCGTTTAGTTTAGACACTCGAGTTCCAACCAGAAGATTCAAAATTGAAAGTTCACATCGGAACAATTAGCTTATAGCCTGATTCATGGATGTGTAAGAGGTGACTGTCAAAGTGACCGGCACATAATAAATGTCAGGAAAGGACCATCAGGCAATCTGAAGATTCATACACCATTCAAACAAGGCCAGTGAACTGTTCAATTATTTCACGAAATGATTAATTTAAGTAGACAGTTAGTTGACTGACTGAACGAAATGGCCTTAAACGGCTAATAATGGATCTGCTGTCATTCACTAAGTATTTCATTCAGTCATTTACGATGTAAGACCAGGCTCAACAAGATGAACATCAAATTCATTGCAGTTATTTCAGTGGTAATAAAAAAGATTTCATATAAGGACATGATACAGGGAGAACGAATTAGTTCGTAGAAAAAAAGGTAAAGTAATTATAATCTCACCGTTTAGGGGAAGTCTAAGAGTGTATACACCGACGCCATTGTGATCGATTCTGAGCTATGTCACTCCAACAAATGGTTACGATAGTTACGCGGACCCCAAACAAGTAGTCTGCATCTACCAACATGACTCAGACCAGAAGTTAGTAACTTCAAGCACTGATGCTACGTTTTGGTTTGGCCGCTCCTAACTTTCTTCCAACCATCCCCAACACTAGACAGCATTGCGCGTCGTGGTAATCGGTGTTCAGGCATACGTAACACGTGGCCCAACCATCTCAGTCGATGAAGATTAACAACCTCATCAACTGGTTTACCATCATTCTCAAATACTTTGCGTCTAACCTCACTATTACCTGCCCGGTGATCCCAGCAATATTTCTAAGACATCTGTGGTCAAATATTAGTAGCTTACGAGTATATTCTATTCTTAATGGCAACTTTTCGCAGCCGTAAATTTAAACAGAACGAACTGCCCCGCAGTATACTCGTCCTTTTATTGATAGATGGATATCTCGCCTTCGCCATGAGTGACGAAGTTGGCGAGTAACAAACGAGCTGTTTGAAGCCGTGCTGATATTTCGTCAGACCCCAACCCATTAGGATCGGCCGAACTTCCAATATAAATGAAGTTGTCGGCGCGTTCGACTACTTCACTCCCTATCCTTGGTTGAGGTGTTGACGCAGGTCAGTCCTGTAGCAACAACTTTCATTTAGAGGATGAGAAGCGCATGCTAAACATTCTGGCATTGTTGCTCAGTGTTATCAAGATTCTGCATTTTATCAGCGTCATCTAGATCCCCTGGAAGGAGATCAATGCCCGAAAATTCTGTGGGGGAGAACGTTATTTTCATCAGTGTCTTTGATGAAGTTGAACAAAAATGGAGAAAGTGGACAGCCTTGACGGATACCACTTGAGGTTGCAAAAGCACATGGCAGTTCGCCGTAAGCTCTCGCTCGACTAGTAGTGTTCGAGTAAAGATCCTACACAAGGTTTATGTACTTCTGAGGTACACCTTTCAATGACAGACAGTGCCGCAGAACCTATCGATCTACCGAGTCAAATGTTGCTTTTAAGTCAAGAAAGACCACCATTGTCGGACGCCGATAATGATACCTTTGTTCTAGAACCTGACAAATGGTGAATATGCGGTCGATGCAGCCACGAACAGGTCCGAAGCCAGCTTGATTTTCCCGTGTTTGCAGATCACGAGTCTTAGGCGTCCGATAATTATCGAGGCTAGTATTTTAGATGCTATATTAGTCAAACTAATCGCTCTATGGTTGTCACAGGATGATTTTGACCCTTTCTTATATATTGGGATAATCAGTGATTGTGACCAATCAGATGAGATCACGTCCAACTCCCAGACCTTAGCTAAAATATCAGTCAACCTAATCGCTAAAACTGGACCACCATCCTTAAAGACCTTTGGAGTTTATCCATCTGCTCTTCCTCATTTCAGATTGTTTATAGCTTTTGTAACTTATATTACAGTCGGGGGATCTATTTTAATGTTCCATTCAGGCTGTTTGGAAATAGTGAATAGTTGTACAGCAGCTGAACTGCATCTCAAAGTTTTCCATCCAGTTTCAAACGTCTAGACTGAGAGCATGTAAAAGTGCCGTCATTCGCCGTGATTGTCTCACTCAAACTAAACTTCCTAAATCCGGTTTCTTTTATTAGTCTGTAAAACTGTCTTGTGTCACCTACATCTACTGCCTTCCCCATCTATTTTGCTTTCGTTGCCAACCACTCACGATCGTTTCGTAGACTTTTGGTTAGCTTAGGTGTGATTTGTTTTCGCTCTTCATCGTGTTTGGAGCATGATAGGATGGGTTTACGGTAGTCTATCAGTGCAATAGATGTCCCAGAAATTTAATGGTTTTCCGTAACCTTTTGGTTCAGATCACTAAAAAATGTCGTAGTTGTTCGTACATCTTCCCAAGCAACATCTGGGTCAGCCTCGTTTTCGAAATTGCCTAAGTGTGGCTTCAGCTGTTCCTGAAATTTAACTTTGGCTTTTATAATCAAAACTTTTTGATGGTTTTATTCACAGAAGATTTACAATTGAATAGAAATAAACAAACACTGTTGAATGGATTTTGTACAATTGCACATAATATTACACTCTAATGTAATGTAAACATTATTCGGAAAAAAGACGTGGAAAATAACAAAAATGAATCAAAACGTCCTTGAATGTATCCAATATCGCAATTCAACTGGACAATTCGGATAAGTATCTAAACAAGCGGTGAGAATATCGCTGTCTACATAACAAAATAATGGACGATAATTTGGTAAAGTAGATGATGAACTCCAAATGGCCTTATTGTTGGATCCAGTGGTCGATAGACCAGTGGATGCAGTGATTGCAGCTTTACCAGATATAATCAGTTCAAAGTCAATTAGATTGTCTAATGCTTTCATAACAACCGGTTTATCGTATAAATGACCAGGACAATTGGAACGACAAAACTTTAAGTATTCTAAGGGAAAAAATTAGAAAAAAACTGAAATAATAATTGTAGAATAACGTAAATAATTTGATTATACCAAATATTAAAGTTCATGCTTCCAAAAATAAATTTGCATGACTTCCCTGGTGGTGGCTACATACACGTGGCCATGTGAGAGCATTTTGAGAAGAAGAATGGACTCTCCCGACACGGCTGTTCTAGGGCATTCGGGAGCTATTAGATATGAGTTAAGAAAACCTGTATTACTTTTCTACCGTTAACATTTTTGCTACTGAATCATACCAAAACACAATATTTAAGTATTGATTTGTAAAAGACTAACTTACCAGAATACAAACTCTCAAAGTTAACCGGTTTTCCATCATTCATATCTTGAAGCTTGACCATGGCAGTAATTAAAAATAGCTCTAATACGGAACAACCTATTGAACACGAATAAAAGTAAATAACGTGTTTCTATGCAAATGCAAGGTTTTTAATAAAATCTTGATTCCAAGGAAATATAATTCAACTCAACAACCATGTAGATATTTGCATCTACAAGTTTGTTGTAAAGATACACTATGAAGGCTAACTGTGATGTTTGACTGCTCAGTCTTTATTTGATAAAGAAAATTTGGAACCAGTGATGCACTAGTTGTAAACCGACACCTGCCATTTGAAGATTAGAGATAACGATAAAAACGAATGCTTTTATCATGCCATTTCATCTTTAATTTATGAGCATAAAAGTTGGCATAATTGTTTACAGTATGAATAACAAGTAAATAATATTTGGAACACGAAGCTCAATAATCAGCTGTTTGACATTTTGAAAAGTTTGGTTGGGATTTCTCTTTCGCTGTTTCGTGATTAAACATTCAATTACGTCGCCTTAGTTGCCCCAATATATAAAATCTATTATTCCACCACAGAATCACCCCAATATTAACCAGAATATCAAGGTAGCTTTATTGTTTCTTGATGGATAATACTTCATTAACAAAAAAATGTCAGCAAAAAAAGCAGTGCACAATAAATAAATACTGACCTTAAATTTTTGATTTAGCAAAACATTTAAGTCAATAAAATACAAACATGGGTCACGATAGTGTGATCCCCCAAAATTGAGAGCTCAATAAAACTATTCAAATGTATCACTTCCCATTTTTGGTAGATAACTGAACTACTTCACACTGTAATCGAACAACAATAAACGGAGTAGCAAGTAAAATGAAGTAACTTATTACAGAACAAAGAATTCACATAACTTTACGAATCACGATAACTACTGCGTTGGTCAATAAAAAAATCAGTGATACAATTTTTTGGGGCGAATCAATAAGCAGAATTTGATTCATTCATAAATTCTCATCCCCACTACATATAATTTGGTATTTTTGAAATCTTAGCTACTGTATAAATGGGGGAAAACATATTCCCTGAAAACTTGACTGTAGCAATGTTATACTAATGATAACCAAGCTATTTTTGATACTAGACAATCATATTTGTTGTTTCAATAGAAATAAACAAAATTTTTGGGACACTCACCCTTCAGTGCAGTGAGCTTTGAATCTTGTTGTAATGTACATAAAGATTCTATAAATTGCACTGGTTCAATACGATCGTGTTCAGGTCCAAGCGAAGCAACTATTGGAATCTGTTCAAATGAACATGGAAAGTATTGATTTGAAAGGAACAGTACGACTTACTACACAACTGAAAAATAAGTGTGTTTACGCATGACAATTAGACATTTTTCGCTACAAATGTATTACTTAGTAGCCTAATACATTTAAAACACTGTTGTTAACCAGTCAATCATGAATTTGGGTATATTAATCAACATATATCGGATCAACTGGGACAATAATACTGTTCAAATGATAAAAATTATTAGACAAAATACGAAACATCGAACTAAATGTTCAATAATCTTTTTAAAAAATCATACTTTTATTAATTTGGCATCAGTAAACAACTTGGTAGAATACATACTTATTAATTTTGGTGGTCAAACATCAAGAAAGTAAGTTGAGGACAAAGAAACAATTTCAATTTACCTGATTTTATAAATTGGATAGTATGATACTAATGACAGGACTCAGCGATCAACCAATTGAAAATATCTTTCCCATATGTCAATGATTGCCAAAACAGTTTAGTGGTAATATTTCATACTACGAAGTTGGGTGATGAGTGTTTTGATTTCACGGAACGGGGGATTAGTTCCTGCAAAATCGCAGATATGCTTTGCTGACGAGTACTCAAATAGCAAGAAAATCTGGTCAAGTAAGGTTTCTTGTTGGTTACATCTCTAGATACTATATGGTCAGTAACTTACTACTTTGGAAAAGTTAACTTCAAAAACGAAATCTAGACATAGTTTGTAGTTATTTAATTAGTCTACAAACCTCTTCATCACTAACAAATACACAAATAAACCTAAACAGGTAGATATTGAGAAAAAAGCTAATTAAACATTAATACGTAAAAAAAGAAAGCGCAAGTGGAAGGACGTAAAAACACCGTCTAAACATTGAAAACAACAATAAGAATTTAGTGGATACATGAACAAAACGTACCAACAAATTGACCAAACGTTTAATGCTCACTGAAATAGACCATGCTTGTCTTAACGAATCAATCACAATTTCATCAACCATTAATTTTGTAATATGATGATTCCATGATTTAATTGACAACTCTAATTCATGATACTCTTTAGAGTTGGATTTACACAATAATGGTGATAATTGTGGTGGTAGATCATGAATATCAACACTTAATAAATGTTTACAAATTTCACAAAATCGTTTAAATGGTTCAGATCTTGAATTATTGTTACTGTCGTTGTTGTCAGATGCATAAGAATCAGTATTCTCAATTGGTGCTCCAGGTGATGTAAGATAAATTTGACGGTGCGAGAATCTTGATTTAACTCGTTTTTCTAATAATTCCATAACATCCTATGTTTTATGGAGAAAAGAAAAAAAGCTATATAAATATTGAATTCTGAAGTAAACTTATTCAAAAGAACACTCGGAAATCAACATCGTTATATGATTGTTAAGTTGACTACATATATTAGGGATATATATATATATGAAAAAAAGACAAGTTTATATCGCTAGTAAGGATATTTAATAACAATAAATGAGTTCAGAAAATAGACTATTAAGTACACCGATAGAATTGAACTTGACGATAAAACTCCGAAGAAAACAGAACGAAATATATAGAATATGGTTTGAACTCATAACCTGAATCTGTACTAAGATGACTGAATAATAATCCCTATTAGGAATTGACATTTAGTGTGTTGTCACCACAATATGTGGTGGTTGTGTGTGATCAAAATCGTTTGCAATGGCGCAGGTGCATACACTCTTTATGTTCTCCTAAATTTTGATCTCCTTATTCCTCCTTGTCTCTTTTTTTTCTGTTCCCAAATTTACTTCACTGTATTATACTCTTTTGTGGGAGAGAACAAATCAGCTTCCAGCTGAAGAAATTAGGAAAAGACGATGGATAGGACATACATTACACAAATCATCAAAATGCATCACGAGACAAGCCCTAACTTGGAATCCTGAAGGAAAACGGAAAAGAGGAAGGCCTAAGAACACATTACGTCGGATAATAGAAGCAGATATGAAAAGGATGAATAGGAACTGGAAGGAGCTGGAAAGGATTGCCCAGGACAGGGTTGGATGGAGAATGCTGGTGAGCGGCCTATGCTCCTTCACGAGGAGTAACAGGTGTAAGTAAGTAGTTATACTCTTTAAGTGACATCTCCAAACACTAATCTTCCCGATTACTGCTTATACTCTCATTACCTCTACCACTACGGGATTTGAATCGACCACTGCATCTCTGTGCTAATGTGGTGTGGCAACTCAAACTGATGTACGTACGTACGAAGTTCTACGTTGTTACTGACTGACCACATATTGTGATCCAATTCATTTACAACATACAAGATTTATGCACAAGGCTATAAGCGCCATAATTTAGTTGTTCAGGAGATAGTAACCAACAATGGGTCCCTAAATCAAGCGAGTGGAGTTGGTTTTTTAATCTGTAACACCTGTTGTGATTGGAAGTCAAGTACCTTTAACTTTTAGGAATAGTTCAGGACAATATACGAAAATATCAAACAACTTTTGTGAATTTATTTTACTAAACGTAATTTTCTAATGAATAATGGTTTAATGACAAAATGTGCTTGGGAATTCACACAAAAATCAACTGGGGGTGATGGATAGCCTGTTACAAAATGTGTTGAAAAAAAAGTGTTACATTCAAGATGAATCTCACCACAACTAGTTTTTTTGAGAAATTTTTTTTAATTTTAGAAAAGCATTAAAAACTTACTAAACGGCATGTTAGTCCAATGATACAAATACGAGATTCAGGAGATTGACAACAATCGAATAAATTGTACAACAACAACTGATTATGATGTAAAGCAAAAAGATCAAATTCACTCAGGACAATTAGAACAGCTTTTCGAGTTCCATGATTTTGACGAACCTCATTTAAGAATAAATTGAGCTGTTGAGAAAAAGGCAAATTTTTCATACTGTTGTGAAAATCAGAAGTTGGATTACAGTCTGATTGGACTAGATTATTTAATAGGGCTTCATTATGTAGTTGTTTAGCTAGTGATTTCATAGCAGAACGGTCGTCTGTATGAATTAAACCTACGTTAAGAGAAATCACTAGTCATAATCACAAATAATACTAACCGTTTAAGTAAACTTCAGAAATCCCAGAGCCAATATTCGAGTTTTCTTTTGCTTTCTTTATTGCTTCTTTGATTAGCTAAAGCCATAAAATATACATACTACATAAAATTACATGATGTTTACCAACACCTCTTCTACCAATTATCAATATAGAGCTACTTTCACCTTTTGAAACCGTGGATGTGATAAGGTCCTGTAAATACTTCAACTCTTTATCAAAATACAGAAGGCGATGTTGATTTCCTCTTAATTTTATGCGTAGTACATCACAAATCAGATCCATCTGTATTGATCAACTAGGTCGAATTTTACGAATTATAGTCTTCACTGTATTCGGTCAATGATGCAAAGCTAAAGCAAGTACAAAAGTGGTTGAGGTGTATATAAGATTCTGAAAATGTGAATATTGAAATTAAAAATAATTTGTGAGTAAACTACTAATGAAGAATCAATTAAATCTGAAGTTACCAGGGTCTGTGTTAATGCTGACTGGTTACTAATTGGTATCATCAGAAAGAGTAGAATAAGCAACGACTTTAACATTTTTTCGTAAGTTGATTAATCAAAACAGTTATCTGAGAATACCTGGATGTTCATGTATGACGGATAATCGATATAGCTACTCCCCGGCAAACGCTGACATTGTGCATGATTATGACTACTGTTCTGTTAGTAGCGACTCTGTGGAGTTAGCAGTTCTAAACGTTAAAGATAATCAATGAGCAAGTGACCATTTCTTGAGTTCAGACAGGACTCATGCGTTAAAAGCTATGTCTCACCGAAATATCCTCAATTTTACTAATAAAGGCGAGACTCTAATTTATGGACGAGCCAGTCAGAAGCGTTTTAGAGATTTCAAGGTTACAGCGCCAATTTCAGTGCTTAATGCTAGCGTACGATCGGTTCTCAGGGAATTTTGTACAAAACGTGATAAATGAGCGGCTATAACAAATAAAACGGCGAGACTATAATTTGTGGACGAATCAACCAGGTACAAGATAACGCTGATTAGCTAATATTTCTCAAGATCATTGAAGATCCGTTTAAGGGTCGTCCATAAATTAGAGTCTCGTCAAATACATTAGTCAGACGTTGAAAAAACACCCTCAAGCAGTAATCTAAAAGTAGAAATGATCAAATCTGTTTTTTTACTACTTTACCTTCACATGATATTGTCACAGTATCAGAGCAACAAAAGGTCGGTAGACACACAGTAACTGCTCGTACTCAAATTTTTCTAAGTCCTGCCTGCAGTCACAAGCAGGAAAGAGAGATAAAACACGTAGATTATTTTGTCACATAAATTTGATACAATGGTTGAGAAGAGACGTAAATTTACTAATAATACGACTTTGTTGTCTACATGTGCAGAAACTCATCAGTGGAACACATTATTAATAAAACAATAACATCCCACTAGGTTTTATTGGGAAAGCCATTCGATCGGGAACAGAAGAGCCTGATTTAATTTTAACGATCGAAGTCAGATGACTTATTATTGAAACAATAACAAAACGAACAGACTATGTCTTTTACTTTTGGAACCAATTTTCTTTCGTCAAACTTAGGTTGGCCATTATTGATTATTGCATAGAAAAATTTCATGATTAAGATTTAAAAAATGGCTTTAACAGGGATATAATGCGAAACAGTTATAAGTTCCCACTGTACGCGGGAATTTCCTTTAGCATCTCCACGTCTGACTAGCAACAACTAAACCAGAAGTTTGTCGTAAGTCTACACAGAACTGAGTTTCCTTAGAACATTGGGTAGGACAGAAAAAACCACGATGTTAACTGAACACCTGACCAAGAGCAAACATCAATTAGTAGAAATCAAACCCTTAAGAACTACAAAACAGTGACCTCAAATACGAGGAATTAAAAGACAGGGCAAAATCATAACCTATGGACGAACCAGTCACATATAAGATAATAGGTATTTATCCTGAAATAACAGGAAATGTAAGACAATTGATAAAAAGCCATAAAACAAGCCCTTAATTGTATTTTAATGGAATAACTCACACAAGCATCCACCCAAATACGGTAATAATAACAAGTACTTGTCATTTTGAGGAAGTCCCCTAAGTTTTCGGGGTTTTGTGTCGTTTCCCAAAATTTTCTATAGCGGCTTTCCTACAATTTTCCCAAAACGGATAAAATTTCCCCCAAAATTTGGAGATTGAAAAGCCGGGAAATGATAGATATAAAACAAAATGCAGTGAAACGTTACGATTTTCATGAAGACGACTCAACGTTTCGCATAGGCTTCGGTCCATGTAACTATTCACTAAGTACCTGTCATATTGTGTGGTTTAAAGGACTGGTAAGCGATAAAACTAGCAGTTTATAGAGAGATACTCAGTGTTGATATGAAAATAACAAAAGAGCGTCACTAAGAGCCAAAGGATACAGATAAGACAGTACTTCAGTGGTATCGCCTAAACATTGAAGCCACTAATAACTTACTTAAACCCTACTACTTTGAAACGCGCCCTTATAGCTTTCTTGAGCATCTTTGAGTTATTCAAACGCCATCTTAGCTTATCGAAAGTATGAATAACATGCAAAGTTGTCACTGAAAAACATCGAGTTAAATATATTTAAAATGACAGTAGTATTGTTTCACGTTGAGTTAAATCAACAGATTTGATAGTAAATTAAGCATCAAAACTACAGTTTACACTTTAATTGAATATATTCCAGTAAAAGTGATATTGTATTGAGTGTTTTTATTTTTCTCTTGTGTATTTATTGCATCAAATCATACTCGGTAGACTTTCGCTTGATTTATTTAGGTAAGGTTTGAGAATTCTTTTACATATCTTGTTTGTGACAGCATTGTTCTAGATTTTCGAAATGGCCAGCTCTGCTCATAGATGTGGACAGCCATACTGCTAATTCCCCATACAGTAAGGGGTGCAATGTGATGAGTGTAATAAGTGGTTTCACAAGATGTGCCCCAACAATGATTGATTTTGTACATTTTGTTGCTCGAGCAAAACATTACTCATCCACGAAGTAATTAGCCTCCTGGTGTTGGTTAATAATAAGGTTGACTAGGACTGTACTGGTAACATGGGTACTGATGACGAAGATTGCGTCAGTGTCGTAAGTGCTGTCACGGCACAAGTCAGACATCTAACTCTGCAACCTTCAGTTAGACCTTCTACCCCGAAAGAATCATTGAGCGACACGTCATTAGATATTGGTGAACAAGTTGCTACACTAGCGACCAGTGATCCAAACAAAACACTTACTGTCCCGAGTAGTTCCAATGTAGATGCTACGAATGATGAAAAATGAATGACGCGGAAACTCAGAAAAGTATGAGAGATAGCTACAACTAATGCCCGTTTACTTGATAAGTGAGGATGTATTTGATATTCAGCACTGTCCGTCACTAGTGAACAGTGATCACGTCGTACTTCACTTTAAGTTTAGGACACATGGTATATGATTTGTGTCTGCTTCACACCGTACCAATATCTGGCAAGCTAATATTCCGGCAATCAGAAACTGTGCTATCTTGACTGATTGGTTGGTCGATGCGGATGGATCGATCGAAGATAAATGGTCAGCACGTAAGCTATCACACTGCCCTCCATGGATTATTAAGGAAACCCGGAATCTGTTAAAGCGTAGAAAACACTTCTGTGACTCATTCTACTTGACAGGTCACGCATCATTTAAGCGTGAGTTCAAAAATTCCTCAATATTTGTAAGAAAATCATTGATAAATCCCTTACTACTTACGAACGACAGTTGGCATATGATAGCCGTACTTGTCCGAAACGACTGTTTTGGTATGTTGAACGGCAAATAAAAGGTGGTGATGATATTCCCCCGTTACTGTTACACGAAAATTCAGAATTACTAGCTGAATCAGGTTGAGCAAAAGCTGAGACTTTTTCAGACTATTTTAGCGAAATTTTCTCTACGTTTATTGTAACAAATACTTGTCCCATTCACACCAAAATACCAGCCATTGAATATGTGCAGGTGACTCTGAAAACTATCCTTCCGTTGATAACTAGCCTCAAACCTTTTAAGATACCGGACCGTGACGGATAACATATACGGCTGCTGTCATCTCTTATTTCATTATTTCAAAACCGCTCGCGACACTCTTCAACATGTCTATTTCACACGTTCAACTACCTAGATATTGGAAGCATGCTATAGTCAGTCCTATATTTAAGGATGGACAGATAGTATCTAACTACCGGCCTTTCAGTCTAACTAGCACTGTTGTTAAGTTACTTGAAAAGATAATTCGGGTTAGGTTGTCAAGCCACATAGACTCACACAGTATGTTAGCTCCTGAGCAACATGGATTTCATCACAAGCGTTCATGCTTGACAGACTGACTTACTTATTACAAGTGAGGATTAGACAGCAGCCTTAGATAAAGGTTTGTCTGTCGACGTGATATTCATAGATTTTAGCAAAGCATTTAATAAGGCTTCACACTTGGGTATTATTACAGTAGCTCACGAGCTTCGGAATGATAGGTACTGCACATGAGTGGTTAGGAGACTTCTTATGTGACCGCAGACAGAGAGTGAGGGTTAACGGGACGCTATCCGATTGGAAGCCGGTCAAAAGAGGTGTACCCCAAGACACCATCTTAGGCCCTCTGCTCTTCCTTCTCCACGTTAATGAGTTACCGCTGTTACTTAGGTCGTCGACATTATTGTTTGTGGATGACGTAAAAATATTGAGAACAATAAAAAGTGCGGCAGATCATCTGGATCTTCAAGCTGACCTAGACAATTTACTTAGATGGGCTCGAGAGTGGGGCTTATAAATCAATGCTAGGATGAGTGTACTAGTGCACATAGGTCTTGGTAATAGTTACCGTTACACTATTGAGGGTAAACCTCTTCCATGCGTTCAAGAGCATAAAGACTTAGGAGTAATAATAAGTCATGACTTAAAAACCACTACGCATTGCAGCGTAGCCGCCGTCAAAAGTTTTTGTGCGTTATGGTCACTTTTCCGAGCGTTCAAATTTTTTGACGAGGAAATGTTTCGAGCTTTATGTCCCACCTATGTAAGACCACGTTTAAAATACTGTTTCTAAGCAGCTAGCCGATGTCTGATATAGTAAACTAACTCACTTCAGCGTGTCTCGCGTGTGGGAACGAAATTAGTGAAGGGTCTTTCTCGACTCCCCTACGATGAGCGTTTAAAATGCCAAGATCTTTTCCCGTAGTCGTATGGTAGGACACGAAGTGACCTTATACTGGCATTTCGTATCTTTCATTATGATTTGAAGGTTAATATGTCTTATGTTTTTGCTACCTCCAGCACTACTAATCTCCGCGGTCATGGCGAGAAGGTTCACAAACCGTGATCTAATAAACTTGAAGTGGGGTCCCTCTTTTCTCATCGAGTAGTCGATGACTTGAACGTCTTACCCGAACAAAAGGTATCAGCCCCATCAGTGAATATTTACAAGGAGAAGCTGGAACTTCACTGGAAGGCAATCTGTCAGGATTAACACTAGCTAACCAACATTCTACCTTATTACTGAAGACTGAAGACTAAAAGAAAAAACTTTTCTGTCACTTAATTATGATTGTAGCGTCTGGTAATTTTATCATATAACTAGAGTCATTTTTCACCATCATAATACCTGTATTCTTCTCATAGGAATTTTCAACCTTCAGCACATACACGAATTATGTTCATATCCTTGTAATCCTACGCATGTTCTCCTTTTGTTTACTTGCATTTACATCCGTCATTCATTGTACTATCCGAAGCCTGTCTCTATTACAATACTGATCATCTGTTCTGAGCTTAATAACGCTTGTAATGAGTTTGACAGACGAGTTAGTTGGCTTTCCTTCTGAACTTCTCCTCATCTTCTCGTTTCGAATTTCGATGCGTGTCTGAATATAGTAGTGGATTGTAGGGTGAATAAAAAGTCACTGAGACCGAGCCAAACCATCCAGCAGTTGTGTCACTGAAAATCGATTAAATCATCGACCCTCGTTAAGGTCAAGGACAACCAGCTCGCACCAGTTAGTCCTAGGCCATGGGCTGGGCAATGAGGATGTGTCTTACTTTCGCTTGTTTCTACTTTAACTAGTATATTCCTGTCACAAAGTTTTTTGTGATGTACGGTTTTTGAAGCATCTACAGTACCTCGATACGTTGATGGGGCAGTCCTCGTAAGGTTCTGACTGTGAGGTGTGACTTTGAAGTTAGCCAATTCCTCACCCCGTTCCCGTCTTACTTTAGTAGACCCCCAATCATTCGACATAGATCATCTACCTTGGTGATTTACAGGATGAAACCAAGTCACCCATATTAAATATTGTCTAACTATTATGAACCCCTTCACTCAACCGAGGTTGCCCTGGGCATAAAATACTGGGTGTCAATTCTGTCGAAGCGTCCAAGTAACCCCGATTGAGATACGCGCAAAATCGAAGTTCCAAAACAACGGTTTGTCTACAAAAGCGGTTCTTTATTAAATAATACACAAACCTCAACTTGTGAGGTGTCTAGGCGTTTGAACGCGTCGTTCAAGAATGAAAATATCAAAGGCTTCCTGTAAGAGTAACATAAAGAATGATTACAACATACAATAGTCCAAAGACAGCAGATAGTTGTGTTTAAATTTGATAACAGTTTATGAACAACCAAAACTCGAACCAAGAGCAAACAATATGGAAACTGTTGCGTTTAAACAAATGCATAAAAACTGTGGATAACCGTTACAGTAATCAAATTACAGTGATTATAATAATAAATACAATGATAAGTAAAATAAACGTTAAAGATATATGTGAACATTTCAGAATGTTACAGTACAACCTGAGTTACAACATAATTGTGAAAATTGTTGGGCATACAACTGCTTACTGAATATAAATAAGTAGTATATGTAACAGCATAGGTTGGTTGGTTAAGAGTTGACCCCAAACAACCAAGCATATGTCAAAACAGTATTGTTCAAGTATTCATTCACTTCCTTATTTTGTATAAGCGTTATATTCCTTATTATCTTATATTGAATGTTGAAAGCTTTTGTTTGTCTGAACAGATAATCCCACGCTCCACTGTGACTGCGCTAAGATCGAAATAAAGACGTACTCACTACTTCTCTGGTTTCTTCTATCAATAGTACGGGGGTTACCTATAGACACGAAACTGGTGAGCCCTTTTTGAACACAAATTAACCTCATTTTTGTTATTAATATTTTTTTTTCTCAATCGTAAAAGTAGACCTCATAATCCGTAAACTAAGTTGGGTATATAAATAGTTTATTTTTTTATATTATCTTAAGTTATTCGTGTCATAGAAACCATTTTTTTTCGTGCTAATTTTATTGCTATATTTGTCACATACCTCATGTCAGACTTAAAAGAAACCCATAATCTGGAGGATTTGTCACCAGTGGAGATAGACACTGTTATAACTACGAAATCTCGACTTCCAGAATTTGATCGTAGTGATCCTGAGTTGTGGTTTGCTCAACTCGAGCATTATTTCA